ATTGAGACACTACAGCTTTGGCTTAGAGATCGACAAAATGACCAATGGAACAGATCAGGAAGCCCAGAAGCAGAACTATACAGAAATAGAAACTTGACATATGATGGCAAAATGGCATTAAAATCAGAGGGAGGGGCTTCCCTGGTGGCGCAGTGGTTGAGAGTCCGCCTGCTGCTGCAGGGGACACGGGTTCTTCCCCTGGTCCAGGAGGATCCCACATGCCGCGGAGCGGCTGGGCCCGTGAGCCATGGCCGCTGAGCCTGTGCGTCCGGAGCCTGTGCTCTGCAACGGGAGAGGCCACAACAGTGAGAGGCCCTCGTACAGAAAAAAAAAAAAAAAAAAAAAAAATCAGAGGGAAAAGGATGTAATTTGCTATAAATAATGTTGGAGTAATTGGTTATCCATGTAGGAAAAAAATGTTTAATTAGATCCTATTTCATATCATACACATATAAATGGATTAAAAAGCTAATGTTGGGCTTCCCACCACAAACAGTAACCCCCCACTCACCGCAACCAGAGAAAATCCTGTGCAGAGCAAGGGAGACACAATGCAGCCAAAAATAAAATAAATAAAATAAAATAAATAAATTTAAAAAAAAAAAGCGGGGGCAGCGGTTAAGAATCCGCCTGCCAATGCAGGGGACACGGCTTCGAGCCCTGGTCCAGGAAGATCCCACATGTCGCGGAGCAACTAAGCCCATGTACCACAACTGCTGAGCCTGCACTCTACAGACCGCGAGCCACAACTGCTGAAGCCCGCACGCCTAGAGCCCGTGTTCCGCAACAAGAGAAGCCACCGCACTGAGAAGCCTGCGCACTCAAAGAAGAGTAGCCCCCACTCGCGGCAACTAGCGAAAGCCCGCGCGCAGCAACAAAGACCCAACTCAGCCAATTAAAAAAAAAAAAAAAAAGCTAATGTTATAAGTAAGCATTTTAATGCTTTTAGAAGAAAGTATAGGGGATAAGCTTATGATCACCAATTAGGGAAGGGTTTCTTAATTCAGACATAAAAAGCATAAACCATTAGGGAAAAGACAAATATATTTTAATACATTAACACAAAAACAAACAAATCCTCTTCAACCAAAATGAAAAGGCAAGCTACAGACTGGGAGATGTGTGCAACATATTTAACTAACAAAACAGTGAGTAGTGAGAACACAGAAAAATTCATTGATAAAAAGCAAGAAACCCAATAGAAAAATTCATTGATAAAAAGCAAGAAACCCAATCAAAAAAATGGGCAAAGTACATGAATAGGCATTTCACAGAAAAGGAAACCTGTCAGGCCAATAAACTTCTGAAAAGATTCTCAACCTCACTAGGAATCAGGAAATGCAAATTACATTAACATATTACATCCACCTGATTGGCAAACATTTTTAAAGTCTGACAATACCAAGTGTTGGTAAGATGTGGAGCAACAGGAATTCTCTCATACTATTGATGGGAATGTAAATTGGTACAACTTTGGAGAGCAATTTGGTAATATCCAGCATTCCCATTCCCAAGAACATACCCTGAAGAATCTCTTTCACAAAGAGATATGTAAAAGGTTGCTTGCATCAGAATTGTTTGTGACAACAAAAACTGGAAATATCCAAAACTCTCCCAACAGGAGAATACATAATTAGTCACCAAGTATTCATACAATGAATTCTATATGCAGCAGTTAAAATAACTGAACAAAACTGCATGTACCAACGTGGATAAATCTCAAAAAACAAAGTATTGAGGGAAAAAAAGCAAGGTGCAGAAGGATATATACACTATGACACCATTTATATTAAGTTAAAATATGCTAAACAGTATTACATGTTGTTTATGAGAATATGTATAAGTAAAGGTATAAAAATATTCACGGTGATGATAGTGTGCCAGTTTTGGTATAGTGGATGCCTCTGATGAGACAGGAAAAGGATAAACATATTCCAGAAGTTAGTCAACCATGTCTGTAATATTTTATTTTAAAAATAAAGTCTGAAGTAAATATGGCAGAACAATGGGTAAACTGATGTTTATTGTATTAGTCTTTTTAATTTCCCATATGCTTGATATGTTTCAGTTAAAAAGTGAATAACTTTAAAATAAAACTTCAGAATAGACTTCATCTTAATGGATGATAAAATCCCTAATAACTACTAAGATTTCAATAAAATTTAACCATAAAATGGTCAAAATTCTCATTGTGAAACATAAATATTTCCATTTTAAGCAAACATGTGTCCACACTATCGATCAATAAATAAGAGCTATCTAGACATAAATTGATAGCAGGGTAAAAAATACATAAACATACACACACGTGGGTAGACTCGAAATGAGCACTAAAAAATTAACATAAGCTTGGAAGCTAGAAGGGTTTGGGATGAAATACCTTTTTAAAAAAAAATTGACTCAATGAATGAAATGTTGAATAAACGTTAAGGAACAAGTGTATTATGTACTTCCTGAAAAGTTGTTACTTTAGAAATCATATAGCAGCAGAGATTTAAATAGTGCTCTAGAAATGCACAGTAAAAAGTAGTCAAGTCCTTTTCGGCCTTCCTCTCAATTCATTTCTTTCTGTTAAATGATCAGGTTAAACAAGCAGGCACACAACAAAATGACACAGGTCAAATCACTATCGACACTTCAATAGAACAAAAAAAATCACTATCGACACCCAATTTTCAAGGGCAATGGCACTCAAGAACTCACCCAGTGATACTTTGCTATGCCTTTAATTAAGGCGGGGCTTTTAAAGCTCAATTGTTCCATTCGTGTCTCAAATCAATCAGATGAATTTCACCTTTTACGTGGCCTGAATCCTGATAGCTCGGCACACTTGATAGGTAATTTAATCATCTGTGGTGTAGATGAACGCAAACTCAAATTAGCTACTGAAAGAGTTGGTCTTCTCTGAGATAGCTGTGCTTTTCCACTTTTATGCAAGAGCTGAGCTTCACCAACTGGCTAGCTGGAGGTGTTATTAAAAATTTAGTGAAAGAAACAAAGGTGTGCTCTGGTGTCTCTTGTTACCCTTTCTACTGTTACTCCAGTGGACAAAAGGCATAGGGCCTGCCTCATGAATAATGTGACATGGAATATTCACATGTATTTTTAATGGAGTCAAGTAATAACATTAAGAGAGATATTTGCAATCTTCAAATTTCACACGGTAACAGGCGCAGTAATTTGTTTTGATTCTGAACTGAGGATATCAGGATATTTTTTTTTCCAAAAAAAGCACACTATTAACATCAAAATTAAAATTCCACATTTATAGCATAAATAGGAATTATGAAAATGGACCAAAGTTCTAAAAGTCACAAGGGTAGAGCAGTACAGGGCAGCTAACTAGATTTCAATCAGTTCTACTTACCCCCCAATGTAACTTCTTTACTTTTCAAACCAAGTTGGAAATAATCAACCAATGTGCACAGTGAATCCTGTGAGAAGGTCGTTTTGTGATCTTTATTCACTGGGAACTTTGTTTCCCAGGACACTAGAAAGAGCTTCCTGGATGCTGCAACTGTTCACCCAACAGTTCTGGAAAATTATCTTAAACTGCCTTATAGAGTGAACAAATTTCAATTTTGAATGAGAGTAAATTGACATGTAAAGACATGGTGTTGAAAACCAAGTGAGAAAAAAAAAAAAAAAAAAAAAAACCAAGTGAGGATAGCCAAACACCGAGATTTGGAGAGACCGGAGAAAAGCATGCTCAAAGCCAGGGAGAGTCCTATGTGTTCTATTTGCTTCCTTGGCCCTCAAGCAATCTCTCTTCCCTCTGTGCTGCAGAGAGCAGAGCCAGCCAGGATGAAGCAGGAGTTTATTTTCTCTGCTTATTCACTTACCACCTCAGCAAATATTTATTGATCTCCTACTGTGTGCCAGGCATTGTTCTGGGAGCTGAAGATTCAGCAGTGACCAAATATATAAAGCTCCACAGGACACTGTGTTCACTGCTGTATCCCTAGCACCTAGAACAGTGCCAGGCACATACTCGGCGCTCAATCAATATGGGTGAAATTGATTTGAACAGAAATGGACAAGCTGCTGATGGTCACCATGGGCTGTGCAATACCTTGGCTGGGTATTAGAAAGAGTACAGGTAGTTGGGATTTAGGCCAGGACCTTATTCTGGTTTCATTCTTTTAAAGGACTGATTTATTCCCAAAGGTGGGATAGAGCCAGAAATAACCCAGATGCCAATTTTACTGCCCCTCATCAGTCTTCAGATTTATAACTTGCCTTAGGTGAGGCAGCTAATCAGTCTCAGATATTTTCTTTCCCCTCTGTCTCCAGAGAATCAAAGTAGTCAGGTTTGGATTGTGATGATAGAACCATATCTTCATTTTATGGTGAAGGAAACCAGTATCGGGAAGGTCAAAGGATTTGCCCAAGTCACATGGTATGTTGGTGACAGAGTCGTGACTAAGACTCAGTCTCTAGACCTAAGGCTCGTAACGCCTTTATTCATCTGGGAGCCTTCTGGCCTGTTTAAAAACAAAAACAAAAAACCTGAACCTCTCAGAATAAAAAGCCCACATACATGTAGGACATCAGAGACTCGGCAAGGTAGGAACTTACTTTTGTATCCCTAGTTCTTCTGCTAAGAAAGAAGGAGCTCAGGCACAGAAGAAAAGAAAGAAGCTCATGAAAACCAGAGCAATTGGATTTTACTCTCTTCTGGATGTTGGCTTGTCTGCTATACTTTTATACTCTGCTCCAGTTCCCTTCAGTGCCAACTGCCCCTAGAGACCAAAACAAAGTTCTTTCCCAAATTCCCTACCTAAATGAAAAGCAATATGTAAGAGTCTTAATACTTTATTAACTTAAAACACCACTCTAATAAATATGTATTAACAAACATAATGCACTCCAGAAGATCTAAAAACATTTACAAACTTCATCATAGTAAAAACACCACTTTTTTTTTCCTCTGTGGTACGCATGGAGGGTTCAAAGAGTTGAAGACAGAGCCTTCACGTGCCTGCTAGCTTAGACATCTTAAAAATATCAGCTTAACAATAAAAAAACGGAATATACACAAAAATCTTTGAAGTATCTGTTCAGCTATTTTTCATTTACGTTTGATAAAATCCAAACAGTCAGAAGGGAAGTTTCAAGATTCTGCTTTACCTTCTCAGAATTCCTTTGTGGGGGGAGGGAGCATAGACCCAGCTACTTGGAGCTGCGGAGCAGAGGCAGACAGAGACTTTACTTTCTGGCTCCCCAGTACCTAGCATAGGGCCTGAAACCATGGTAACTGGTGGTCAATAGACATTTGCTGAATAAATGGATGACAATCTTGTCCAAAGGCATTGCTCTGTGCTTCCACCTCTTCTGAAGAAGCCTTCACAGGCCTCCTGGAGGGAGGACATCTAATCTCTTCTCACCAAGCCGACTTTTCTTCTGCTCCTTCTTGGGGCAGGATCCACAGTGTATCTTGTAATTTCAAAAGTATGAAATTCCTTTCCCAAATCAGTTTTTGAACCAGTCTCCAAGTGGAAGAAACGATTCCTCCAACCTCTATAGGCAGCACCCAACAAAAAAGGGGTCAAAAAACTCCCCAGAAGGAAAACAATAAAATAACACTCATTCTTCATTCCAGATAAAAACATTGATATGTTTACCTTGTAAATGATGATTCCTCCTATTCCATACAAGTATCTGGGGTAGGTCAGGAGGAGGAGGGAGGAAACCTGAAGGACCTTCCTATCTGTGTAACAGGGCTGGGAATAGGAAGGACTGTGAGGCCCGGTATTTTATCTGATTGCCTCTCCACTTGGAGTCTTCAGATGTAGAGGAGCCTATTGGGTGAGTCCCATACCCAGGCAGTCATTTAGTTCCCACTCCAGGCTGAAATTTCAAAAGGTAACTTATCCCCTCTGGCGGCTCCAGGGAGAAAAGGGAAGGGGGATCACCCTGGTGGGATCTGCGGAAGTGGCTGGTGGCAAGTGGGGAGGCTGCCCTCCGTAGTGTTGCCTGCGTAACTGCGCCTGCAGCCAGCCGAGGCGCTCACTTGAGCCCATGCTGTGTCTCCCGGTGCCGCCTGAGGTCCACCTTCCTCTGGAAGCCCTTTCCACACAGGTCGCAGCCGAAGGGCTTGAAGCCTGTGTGCTTGCGGCTGTGGGTGATGAGGTTGGAGCTCTGGCTGAATGCCTTGCCACACACCTGGCACTTGTGGGGCTTCTCACCTACAGAGATGGAAGGGGGAGGGGAGGAAGCATGAGTCTATGACAGAGCTAGAGGGGACTCACTGTGACCCGCAAGCTCTTGGCAGCGGCTGGCTGCACCACAGTCTAGGGCCTCTGAGCAGCTTGGAGGGTGCCGTGTGTGGCAGTGCAAGTCCCGGGAAGCCAGGGGTGCACCAGGTGAAAGGGAGACTCTCCGGGTGGGGGTTCCCAGCCAGAGGCCTCAAACCGTTTCCTGCTAAACGGAAACAACAAAGGCCACGTGCCCTCCCCAGACACGCAGCTGAATCCGCCCTGGGAGGACTCCCTTGGCTTTAGAAGTAGAGAGCTCCCACAGCAGATGTTCAGCGCAAGGGGCCGGGGTGCTGTCTTTCAAACCACGTGACTCTGCTCTAATTGAGAGGAAGTTTTCAAATCTGAGTTTCCAAGTGGGTGTTGGTTTGTATGGACCAGTGAGCCTGTCTTCTTTCTTGCTCTTGGAGGACAACAGGATGTATTTGAAAGCATGGGCATTTCTAGAAGTCTTATTTTTAAAAAATCCACATCTGGGTCACAAAGTATTTCTTAAGGCAGCGGATCCTTTTCTATCTTGATTTTACTCTCTTTTTACGAGGTTAATCACAGGATTCTTTATATACCAGCAACTCTTCACCATTGATTAATAAATAGCAGATAGGCTTCCCTGGTGGCACAGTGGTTAAGAATCCACCTGCCAATGCAGGGGACACGGGTTCAAGCCCTGGTCTGGGAAGATCCCACATGCCGCGGAGCAACTAAGCCCGTGCGCCACAACTACTGAGCCTGCACTCCAGAGCCCGCGAGCCACAACTCCTGAAGCCCGGGCGCCTAGAGCCCGCGCTCCGCAACAAGAGAAGCCACCGCAATGAGAAGCCCACACACCGCTACGAAGAGCAGCCTCTGCTCGCTGCAACTAGAGAAAGCCCGTCCACAGCAACGAAGACCCAATGCAGCCAAAAATATAAATAAATAAAATAAAGTACCTTTAAATAAGTAACAGAAAAGGGTTTGTTTCCCCCCCAATTCATATGCTGTTTAACATTTGGGAAAGTAGCATGATTTTCCAAATAGCCTCAGCATGGCATTATAGTCGGGGTTTGGCCTTGGAAAAAATGCAAAATAGATGAAGTCTGTTTTTGAGGAACCCTCTGTTCCTCTTGCTGTACCCCTTTCTATCTTTGTGCTTCAGGTTTCCTTGATAAGGAACCAATCATCAAAACTTATCCTATCCCTTAGGGTCAAATAAATCTGAGAAACGAATTCTAGCTATAATGTAAATGTTTGATAAGGGCTTAATGTTTCATTCAGTCAAGATCCTAGTTGCATTTTGGTGAGCGTCTTGAATACCTTTACTCAAAAGGAGCGAGTTGCATGGAAATTTCAGGCAAGAGAGCATGATTAGAGTAGGATATTTTTCTAGGTTTTCTGATGGGGGCATCTACACTGCCCAAGCATATTTGTAAACATCAACGGTGATTGTTTGGAACACACTGTTGTTTTAAGTCAGTATTCATCTTCTAAAATAAAATAAAATTCTGGATCTTGTGTAAATGTCTTGTTGACTATTAAGAGAGTGCTCCTGGCATTAAACCTGCCACCTACACACAATCAAAATATTAGAGAAAGAGTTCAGGATTGGAAGCCAGAGCATTCCACAGCCCTATGATTTACTCTCAGTCTGACCTTTGGTAAATCATTCCATCTCTCTGAGTTTCAGGATGGTAAGAGCAGCTCCTTCTACTATATGGGCCGGCAGTAAGAATCAAATGAAGAGACAGATTTGAAAGCACTTTGTACATTATAAAGCATCATAATGGGTAAAGGCTTATCATTGTTATGACAAACTGGCTGATATTTTGAAAAGGGCAATAAGTGAATAGAAGCTTTCTGTATCCACCAATCCCCTCGGCTTTGAAAATAGAATATAATAAACACTGGTCAACAGGATAGACATTTGAGAGCAGACAGACCTGAATTCAAGTCCTGGCTTTGCCACTTGCTAGCAATATGACCCTGGGTGGGTGCCTCACTTTGCTCATCTCTAAAATGGGGATAAGGAGTAGTCTTTACCTCCCTGAGTTGTTGTGAGCATAAAATGAGATAATGCATTTTAAAAGCGCTTAGCAGAAAAAGCCTAGTAATAGTTACCATTTTTTCCCTTGCTCTGTCAGAATAAGCTGTCAGACTCCTAAAAATGCAGCCAAGAGGTCACACATAAGACCCTCCCCCAAAAGGCTGGGTGATAGCCCTAGAGAAAGTCTCAATCTCTAGGTAAACATTTAGAGCAACACTCTGAGAGGACCCTGGAGCTTCATATTTCACCTAGAGCAGGCAGCAGTTGGAGCAGCTGCTAAACTAGAGGAAAATATTCTTTACAAGGATAGAAAACTTGCAGCTGACCTGCTGAGTGGTTCTTCAGATATAACCCCCAGTCAAAGCCTCTCTGGGGAGAACCACGTATGTAAATGAACCTAAGAGAATCTGTGCCTCTTGTTTTGTTTTTTTTTAACACACATGCAGTGATTAACTCCATCTGGAAGGCCATTTCCACCACTCATTCTGGGGCAAGAATATCACAAAGAAGGTGAATTATGTTGGCCTCAGGGAGAAAAACAATGACCTCCACCCCCCCTTTCCACCCCTCAACAGGTGTTTCCCACAAGCCAAGGGCCTTCAGCTCACCGGTGTGGATGAAGGTGTGTTTCTTCATGTCTGATTTCTGGTGGAACCTCTTGCCACAGTACTGACAGGGGTAGGGCCGGGTGTCTGAGTGGATGAGCAGGTGTGTGGACAGTGTAGATGACCTCTTGAAGCTCTTGCCACAGATCTTACAGTCAAAGCTCCGTTCCTGCAGAGAGAAAGAGGTGATTACTATTGCAATGGTCTAGGCTGCCATTCTCCTCACCACCAACCTGACACTAAAATCCCCAAAGCTAGGGCTCTCCCTTCCTTCAGACTCCCCTTCCCCATAGCCTGCCCCATTATCCTCTCTCCTCCCATTTATTTCCAACCTCCACCCTTCCCACCCATATCCTCTACGCCTTTAACACTTTTTCAACCCAAACACTTTTCAGCCACAAACTTCCACACCCCTTGGCCAAAACGTATCCCCACCCTGCTTTTTTGACACCAATTTACAAACACTTCTCCACCCTCCTCAACAGAAGGCTTAGACCTCAGTCACTTGAGAGGTTCCTCCCCCCTCCCCCCAGCCAGTGTGGATGTTGAAGGAGACGGGAGAATACTCTTTTTAGTAAATAGGTCTCTGTAAGTAAGCATTCTTCTGTCATAGTTACTTGTGAACTTATTTGCTTATCTACGTAGCCTCTATCTCTCAGCTAAACTGTAATCTCTGTGAGGGTATCCTGTCAGGGACCTGGTGTGTTACTGGATTCTCATGTACCTAGCACCTGGAAGTTGAGCAACAAATATTTATAAGTGAATAACTGAAAGAACAGAGGGACAAATACTGGATGCTCTAAATGAGCTGAGATTCCTCTTCTTCAGTCAGGAGGGGTCAATGCAGATTAAGTGACGGCCATTTGGTGAAAAGAAAGAGGCCAAGAAACAGCGCTAATAAATCTGACATATCCGCTGCAAGAGTGCATACGAGCCCTTCTCAAACCCAAAGTAATGATGGGGATCACATTCTGGAGTCTCACAATGATGTGACACCAAACTCCAGGGCTGCCTCGAGCCCTGAGCCGGCAACCACGCACCTTTCCCTGCACGCCTACGTCTGAGCAAGGGGACGTGGCAGAGGAGACTGGGGGCAGTCGGGGCAAGTCCAAGGAGAAAGGTGCCAGGCGGAGAGCGGTCGGTGCTGCACAAAGAAGCAGAAGATGCCGGAACGCGAAAACCTGAGCAGGGCGGCGCGCGGCCGTGCGTCCCGCGCTTACCTGCGAGTGCACGGCTTTGTGCTGCTCCAGGCTCACCGCGTGCCCGAAGGTCTTGCCGCATATCTCGCACGCAAAGGGTCTCGTGCCGCTGTGGGACCTGCGCACGTGCACCTCGAGCCCGTGCGGTGTGGAGAACACCTGAGGCGGGTGGGGCCGGGGAGAGGGCCGCTGAGAGGGGCCGAGGGGCGCGGACGCTGGCTGGGCGCAGGCCGGGGGCGGGGGCGCGGGACCGCTAAAGCCAGGCGCGAGGGAGCCTCACCTTGCTGCACTTGATGCACTTGTAGGCGCCGCCGCCCATTAGCAGGCGGGTGCACAGCAGCTCCGACTCCACCTTGACGCCGGTGCCCTTGTCGCCGTGCAGCCCGTGGCCGCTCTCCGGGTACAGTCCGCCGGTCGCCGGCCTCTCGTACAGTCCTGCCGCCGCGGGCCCAAAGTCGCGGTAGAGCCCCAGGCCCGCGCCGCCGGCAGCTCCGCCTCCTGCGCTGCCTCCCCCGGGTGCCCCGGCCCCCGCGCCTCCAGCAGCCCGGTCCCGGCCGTACAGCGCCGCGGGGTGGCCTGGCTCCGGGGCGCGCTCGCAGAAGAGGCCCAGGCCGGCGCCGCGCTCCAGGGCCGCGCACGGCCTGTAGCTCTGCACCAGGTGCCGCAGGTCGGAACCCGCCAGACCGCTCCACGAGTACGGCTTGAAGGGCAGGGGGAAGGGCTGAACTTCGTCCAGCGAGGGGCACACCGACTTCTCCGAGGCTGTGGAGGAACAAGAGGGCGTCCGGTTAGGTCAGGCCTGAGACCCGGCGGTGTCGGCCAGTCGGTGTGTCTGCGAAGTGCCAGGCACCCAGCCCTTGTGCAGCACTCGGTGCGCCAGGCCTCTCGCTGCGTGCCAGGGAAGCCCCCAGGTTCAAACGCCGGCCGGGTCCTTGGGGCCTCGAGGACAGTGGAGGCGACAAGGCAGCACACAGAAACTTTTCTGTTTGGACCAGCACATCTGGCGGCCCCATAGAGAAAGACGCGCCACGCTTCAAAAATGCTCCGAGCAGAGCGGAGCTGCGCCGGAGGAGAAAGCGGCGGCCGTTCCGGCCCTGGACGGAGCCTGTGGGCAGAGGGCCCAGCCCCAGCGCTCTCCTGGCCCCTACGTGTTCCTACTCCGTCCTTTTTCTTTCCCGGAGTCTGGAAGGAGGGAGGCAGTGAGGACCAATAAAATGCGGCCCGGCCTATCCGAGACATATCTGTCTGGGAAGAAACAAAAATCAAAAAACGGGAAGGCGTTAACATTTCTCAAAGTTATTAAATACCCAATGCAGGGCCAGTGGGAAGGGGGCTCGGGCTTGCTAAATACTCCCTATTCCCAGTCCTGTCATCATTTGACAGAGGGAAAAAAAAATTCCCACGAATTTCTTAGAGGAATGATTTACAATGTAAGGTTTAGTCACCACCTGCCAGACAAACAGCTTTCCGAATTCACGGCCTTCTGCACCCCGACCCATGCGAATTTTGCTAAAACCAAATACCAATATATACTTTTCCCTAAATGCATACGGATTTACAAATCTGTTCACACACACCGCAGACTCCAGTCCAGGCTAGCCGCTTCAATGAGAAGCTGCATTTCGAGTTTCCGTCGGAGATTCCGGCGGTGCCCAGTCCTTGCGCGGCGGTGTCCTGCACAGCCAAGAAGGACCCTCGGGTCGCCGGCTCCCAGACGCACCCTCTTTAGCCAAGTCGACGCACTGAGTTTGGGACGGGGTTGGGGGTATCTTTTAAAACTAGTAAGTTAAATCTGGAAATAACCGGCCCTTGGCAGAATCCCGCTGTTCTGCGCTCTCCATTCCCCACCGCCGGAGCCCGAGACTCGCTCCCACCCAACGTGTAGTCGGTTTGCGCGAAGCTCGATTGCTGGCTGGAAATGAAACCAACGGGCTGGTCCCCAAAGCCGGGCCAACCTGGTAGAACGAAAAATGAAATAGGCCCCCAATCCGCGCCTGCGAAGACCTAGCGGGTGGCCGAGATTTTCGTCCCGGACCGGTCCCTCCCGCTTGGCGCCCAGCTCCGCCAGGCCCAACGCCGCGGCAGCGAGCTTAATTTTTAAAGGCAACGACACTTTTCTCTCAGACTGCCCAGGTCTCCGTTTGAGACTCGGGGGTCTGGATTCTGGGATCCCAGCACTGCCTGGGATCCAAGCAGCCGACCCCGCGAGCAGGCTGTCCCTGTCCCAGAAAAGCCGATGCCTCCCCGCGGGGCCCAAGAACAAGCTCCCTCCTCTCGGAAAGACTCTCCGCCATCCGTTTGGCATTTCTGTGCCCAAAGCCGCTCCGGTTCATTCCTCACCGCTGGGTCTCTGCCGCCCGGGCCCCAGAGCTCCCAACGGGTCCCTACCTGGAGACACAGAAGGCGACGGAGGCCTCCAGAAGTCCTCAAACTCCGAGCTCCGATCGCAGACGCTGCCTTCACAGCTGCCGGGGGACGTGGAGGCTCTGTCGGGGGCTTCGGTCAGCTGAGACTCGGGGGACAAACGGCCCCGGGGCTCCGCCTTCGCCCCGCCTGTGCTCGAGGTGCTGTCTGCGGAGAGGAGGCAGGATAGGGGCTCAGGTTGGGTCTGGATGGGCCCGATGGTTCTGAAGCGGTGCCCCCCAGACCGTGGCACCTGGGCTCCCTCAGCTCTCCCCAGACCCGGCCGGAACCCTCCCGGATCCAAGGGCGGGAGCAGAGAGGCCTTGGCACCTAGGCGACAAGCCCGGAAGGAACCTGAAAGGTAGGTAACAAAAAAGGCAGCAAAGGGGCTTCGGGACCGCCCTTCCCGGTTCCTGGGGAATGGTGTGGCGGACACAGAGTCTATGGCCCCGGGAGCGGCCCCGCCCGGCCCGCGCACGCCCCGCACCTGCTCCGCCTGGCGCCAGTACATTCTCCAGGCGGAGGGAATAGTCGGGTCCCGGGGAGCGCGGCTGGTGGTAACTGTGAGCCTTTTTGCTCTTAACCAGGAACGAACGCGGCATGGTGGTCGGGCGCGCTCCCCACTCTGCTCCAAGGGTCCCTGGAGCCTCCGTCAGCCCACCGTAAGCCCCAGCCAGGCGGAGACCTGCGAGAGGAGAACAGGGTGGAAACGCGGGTCAGCACGCTCCGAGACCCGGGACTGGGCAGCGGAGTAGACAGAGTTCGGGCCAGGGAGGAGGGAGGAAGGCCCGCGGGAGGAGGGGCTTGGCCCCGCTGCGCCGCGCTCACCAGGTGGCACTCGGACAGGTGGCGCAAGCCAGCCGCCGCCGCTCAGCGGTAAAACCCGTCCCCGGGCTCAGACTCAGGCCTCTTCCTTCTGCCCTGCCCACGCGGCTCGGCCCCACCCCTTCCCTAGCAAAACTCGTTTTGGTAAAAACTCTCCGAGAGCCGAAGTCCCCAACGGGCCAGTTACCCCAACTCGACCACACACTGCCTGTCTGGATCCGCTCTTGGGCTGGGGAGAAAGGCGTAGACGCGCGGACCAATTTAGGGCGGGGGAGAGCGGAATGTGTCGACGGTCGCGGACTGAGTTGAGGCAAAGAACCAAGCCCTCCAAGAGCCGGCTACAGACTGTAGTGAAAGGGGGTCAGGGGAGAGATGCCTCCGGCTGATTGAGGGGCGGGGTCGGGGGAACTGCATCAGAAGGACTGGGGGAAGCAAAGGCCGGAGAAAGAAAGCAGGAAGGTAGGGAAGCAGGTGGCAGAGGACCAATCAAGGCCCCGGGAAGAACTCGCTTCCCGGTGATCTTGATCGCCCCTCACTTGTACCCCACGCGGGGAATAAATTGGCCCGGAGACGCGGGTGCGGAGGGAACAGGCAGGGGTCGGCGCAAAACACACCAGACCATGGAGACCTAACCTCGGAAACAAAGTCCCGGGAAAAAGCACTTTCCGTTCTGCTCACCAAAAGCCTTGCCCTGGGGAAGTCGAGCCGGGTTCGCGCGCTACGGCTGTGAAACGCGCGGTGTGCTGGAGTCCACAGAGAACCAACCGTTTAGAGGACGCGGGAGAGCGCAGGCTGCTCTGGCAGCAGCTAGAGAGTCGGGATCGGGGCGCGGGTCTGGGAGGGAGCTAGCTGCCCGCTACGCCGCTCTCATTAACCCCCCAATCAGTTCACCTAATCCCGGGGTCGAAACCTGAGCCCGGCGGGGAGGCGGGGCAGCGCCTACGGCCTTTCCTGGGGCTCGCTCCGGGGGCGGGACCTGGCGGGCTAGGAGGTTTGGGGAAAACGAATCTGCCTTTCTCTCAGGGTGAAGGCGATGGGGGACGGGTTCAAGTGCGAGCTGCAGGCTCTTCGGGCACCGCAGCTCTCGGTTGTCTTGGTTATTTCAGAAACAAGGGCCCTGGGGATCCCGGGTCCGGGAAGGACCCCTCATCTTTGAGCTTCGCGCGACTTATTCTGCCAGATTAGGTACTGTGCGGCTCCCAGAGCAAGATGCAGGACAGAGTCTAAGTCTGCCGGTTGGCGCTCCGGAATCAACACGAATTCTCGCTCCACGTCCCACTGTGTCCCCTTCCCCGGAGGAGGAATGGGCAGGCTTGAGAGAAAAGACAGCTGGGACATATAGCTGAGTCTCAAGTGACGTTTCCCAGAAGGCCCGCCAGAAGGCCCCTAGGATTGAGGGTGTTGCCCGCCTGTACCCGGGCCGGCCCCTAAGGGTCGGGGCTTCAGGAGGCCTCGAGGTGCTCGGCTGCCGTAGGGCGAAGCACTGCCGATTCAGTTTTCCCTGCGCCCCGGGGTGACCTGCTCTGTCGGCTGTATACTTAGACACCACAAATCCAAAACCAATTTCTTAAACAACCATGAAAACTCGGAGGAAAAGGAAAATGGGGTGAAAATGTCCCGAGGGCCCTGCTGCGGTTTGGGTCTGCGTTGGCGCAGAGCGGGACAGGGGCGGGAATGCAGGGGGTGGTGAGCTGTCCCCGCCACCACTGAGTCTGGACTGACTGGCACGGAAGCGACCTCCCGACTCAGGCCACAGCCCTGCGCCTCCTTTTCATCCTGGCTGGCTCTGTCCGTTCCTGGGAGGGTGGAATAGGTAGAGGGGTGGTAGGACCAAGGGCTGATCGCGTGGGAAGGCGACCTCTCGCAGCAGCTGGCGCCCGGGGGCGGGGCGGCCTCCTCGGCGCACGCGGGCCAGCCGGGCCTCTCTTCACGGTCAGGGCCTGGGAAGGCGGGAGCTGGAGGCGCAGAGCGGGCAGCCTCCTGAGCCCAAATGCCGCCGCCTCCCCACCAGATGTTACCTTCCCGGTGGATCCCGCTCCTCTGCAGAACCACCAAACCGCCTGGCGTGCGCCGCCTGAGCCAGATCCCCAGCCCCTCCGTGCGGGTCGCGCGGGGACCAAGAGGATAGAGCTCTTTTGGTTCCCAAACTGCGGCCGGCATAGGGTAGGAACCGGCAGCGCCCTCTGGTCGCCCCCGCAGTGCCGGTGTCCCGCCAGTTCCTGCGTCCGCCCCCGCTAGGGAGGGAGGCGCAGCGGACCTACCTGCGGGGTCAGGGCGCGGGTATCGCGCTCCGAGAGTTTTCAAACTGAGTTGCTTTCGGGAGAGACCGCGCTGTCTCGCTGTCTCTCTCTCTCTCTCTCTCTCTCTCTCCTTTTTTAATCTTCCGAGCTCAGCCCCCAAAACCACAAGCTTCACTTCCTGAGCGTTAAGGAGTAGCTCGCTTAGCCCTGTCAGACCTGCCCCCCAAGCCCCAGTCGGGCGGCGGGCGCGCTCCCCCTTTGCGCAAGGGTATAGGAGGCGGACGGGGGCCTGGCCTTTCTAGCCGCCCTCCCCTGCGGCCCTCCCCGTTTTTTCTCTGCGGGACGGCGGGAGATGGGGAGACCCGGAGGGCCCAAACACCCAGGCACTAGAAATGACTCGAAAGAAAATGAACTATTCTTGGCTCCTGGGAGACTTCCGCAGCGAGAAGAAGTCACAGATTCAGGACACAGATTGACTGGAGCGCAGGGGGTGGGAGCGCCCAGCTCCGAGGAAGCCTCCCCGCCCATCTGGTCCGGGACACCCCCCCACAACCCCGCTGCCTGCTTGGGCTGCGCCGCCCCCGGGTCGGGGCCGTGAATCACCCGCCAGTGGTGCCGCCGGCCTGGAGCCCGGCGAGTGGCCGCGGCGTCCGCAGAGCGAAACCTGCCCCGCGGCCCCGAAATAGCTTGTTGTGGAAACACTTCGGGATAAATACGCCCAACAAGGCTGAAAATACCTTGACACCCAATCCCAGAGGTTTGCTCATTTCCCTTCGGATTTAGGTAATGGTTAAATTTGGAAGAGGTGGGCGAGCGCCGAGCCCCCGGCCGAGAGGGCGCAGGCGGCGCGTCCCGCGGGCGCCCGGCTGGGCTGACGGGCGCGCCCTCCCCACGTAGCGCTCACCCGCGCTGGGCCGGGTCCGCTCGGCCGGCGGCTAATTTCCGGTGGTCTGAGCTGCGAAATTAAAGGCCGCGCGGAAGGGAGCGCGCGGGGGCAGCGACGGCGGCTGCTCGGCTGACCCCGCCCTGCCGGGGCAAACCAGGGAGAGCCGTACCCTAGGCGCGGGCTCCGCCACCGCCTGAGGTCAACCCAGGCACCTAGTCGGGACGCGAGCGGTAAAGCTCCATAAAAGCACTACCCTGCTGATTATTAAAAAGTCATTCTTCGCTGGGATTGTGTGTTCCATGAGGGTAGGGGTGGATCTACAGCCTTGTGTCCTGGTGGGCTCGTAGCAAATGTCTGTGGACGGAGTAAATGAATGAATGGCACTAATTCACTAATTAATTGTAGTAGAATAGGAAAAATTAAAACCTCACCCATAAATAAACAAATGCAGCGACCTCCAACGCTGGACTGTATGTCATGATCCATAGAGTGTGGCCTGTGGTGCGTACTTGAAGCCTAAACCCTTTCCTTAAGGGGGATGGGATATCGTTATAATTACCTTACTTTCCTAAATGAATTGAGTTAGATTTTGATCACTACTTCCTGCACAATAAATTTCCAGTGTCAGATACCGGGAGAAGGGAGTGGTGTTCCTCAGTTCTTGCAAAATAACTTGCTATTTTTTAGATTAATCCAAAGTTGTCATGCAAAAAAAGTCCTTAGAGAATGCTTTTTAAAAATGATTTTTAATTTGCATTGTAAATCTAAAGGTTTGTGGAAAATATTTGACTACTATTGCCGTGCTTCAAGCATGCTTTAATAATTTAGATGTTTTATACAGCAATGACTGCACACCTACTATGTGCCAGGTGCGGGACCATACACGCATCTTAATTGTGTGACTGTCCTCCTTACACCACTGTTCATTTGCTTAACATACTCTTTATAAATAAATGCAGAGGTAAGCAGTCTTAATCAGAAGGACTACAAATATTGAATTAGCTGAAGGGAAATTAAGGTCATTTTGTTAAAGTTTTTATTTGTGTGCTTTGTTCTGGCCTAAGGTATAAAAATCTTAAAGCAATAGAAAACACATCTTTCTTTTTTCCTTCTGTCTTATGCAACAGTAAAAAAAAGACCAAACAAAATTTTTTTCATGATAAATGGGACCATAGAAAATTTATTATCAGCCAAGTTCTAGAGAAATGGCTGAACCATTTCCTTTGCACATTAGCAAGTTCAAAGTCAAAATTTCTTGTGCTGTGATTAGTTAGTAGTTTAGTGTCGCTGTTTGAAGTCTCAGAAAACATGGGGAGACTTTGAAGGGGACCAATAATCACCTTAGAATAAATCCCGTTCATTCAGAGTAAATCTAGTCATCTTGGGTTTTGTTTTTGTTTTACTTTTTTTTTTTTGCCCTTCACAGCCTCTGAGTTTGCAAAATAAAACTGGGGACTGGGACAGGGACACCCAGAAAGGAGCAGGTGGGAGGGGAATGGCACCGAATTCCCCTTTACATACTTTATGTTATGAGCCATGTAGATGTATTACTAATTCAAATAAATAAATACACATTAAAAATATTCAGCCATTGAGATCAGGTTATCTATCAGGTGCATAGTGTTGGAAAGTGATTCTCACGCTTAGGGGGGACAGAGGAGAAAGGTAAGAAGAGGGGCACCCAGAAAAGTTAAGAAACTTACCAAGGGGCAGCATAGAGCCAGGACTGGAAGTGATGATAGAATGAACCTGACTTCCCACTACTCCAGACTCCCTCTCATTTACCACTAAACGGAGAGTGAGGAGAGTAAGCGCCCCCTCCCGAAAAGTACACTTTTTTAAATCTAGGAAGAATCCCTCTCCCCAAATATTCCTTTGGAGCTGGATATAATGATAAGCAGAATGTAGGCTTGGGGCATAATTATCTATAAATACTGGTTTTCACAAAAGAGGATGTTCAATTTACTAATTTTGTCAGTAATTTACTAATTATTATTAAATAACAATAATAATGTATCTACAGATGCCAAATAACAAATGACCTTCTTCATATGGCAAACATTTCCAAGTTCTGGCCAGTGGCTCATTTATTTCAAGCAGCATCTCATAGATCAGAATTTCCTTACAACAAAAGATTTGAGACATTTTAAAAAAGAAAACTGTAACAGGATATTACCAGTCTCTTGTTTTTTTCACAAAGCTTTACAGTTACCATCTCTGTTCTATTTGTGGGAGGCATAGGAAAAATGGGTGATCCTGAGGAGGGGTGATGCCTCCATTTCCAGCATACATTTCTGCGATGTTTGCATCATTTGATCCTCACAGCAATGCTATCAGGAGGGGAGAGAGTCTACGCTTTTTGTCGATGGTCATTTGTGGTATCTATCTCTGTTCTGCCAGTTACTAGCCCTGTGACCTTGAACAAATTGGCTCAACTCTCGCAGCCTCAGTTTCTCATCTATAAAGTCAGAGTACCTACCAATCTTGCGAGACCATGGAGCAGTCCTTTGATTTCCACTCTTCACAGGATCCTCTGGGCACCAAGAATGGAAGAATGCTCCCAGTGAAGGTGTCCTAGGTTTAACCTCCTTGTCCCATGTCTTGATTCAATTTGTTCAACTTTGCATAAGTAAACTTTGTGACAGCAATTTGCAGGGACTTGGATTTTTTTTTTAAATCAAAGGTCAGGGAAAAAATGAATCAAGGATCTATTTTCATTTCTAGATATTCTATGGAATTATTTGGGGGAAGTTAAATGAATAACTTGTTTCAGAACTTAGTTTACCCATCTTTAAAACAAGAAATGCCTCCCGTGTATCAAATGCCATGAGCTATTGGCTGAGGAGTAGCTGTGGGAGAGATACTGAGAGTAAAATCAATGTTTAATATACACAGTAAAAAGAAAAAAAAAAATCACAGGATGGGACTAGGCATGAGGCTCCTCTGTAAACCAGACAAGAGATTTTGTCTATAAGAAGGTGGTGCTTTATTTTTTAAATATATTTTTTCATTATAAATTATATTAGATACAGTTTGATAAAGAAAGAAAAGAAGAAACCCAAGACAACATTCTAATATTTTTGCTCTGCTTCTTTAAAAAAAAAAAGTAATTGTAATCATATCACAGATACAAGTGTGTAATCTGTTTTTTCCACTGGATAATATTTCTTTTTTCTATTCTCTTTATTTTTTCAGATTTTCTTTAATTGAACAAAAAACTATTTTATAGTAAAAATTATTTAAATAAAAATTGTAACAATCATGTTCCTTGCTTTTATATTGTCTTTTATCATTCTCAATTGCTATAAAAAGAATTCTATCAAGTAGGTTACTATAATTTACTTAATCATGCCTGTCTTAGTATTTAGCTTGTTTTCATTTTTTACTATTTTAAGTAATGCAGTGACAAGTTTTCTGGCTATAGCTTTGCCCACATTTTAAATTGTTTCTTTAGGATATCTTTCTAAGTGTGGAATTTCTGGATCCAACAATGAATATTTTTTATGGCTCTTGATACATGCCAGAAAAAGTATTTTGGATAGCATGTTTGTGTAATGCACAGGCCAAAAAAATTCATATCACTTAGCAAACAGTTAAAAGATTTAAAAAATCAACTATGGAAAAGTTAGACCTTGATAAAAGACCAGACATAGAACTGGTTTTTATTTTATGCACAAGAAGTATTTGTGAGACAGTGTCCACACCCTGTCATATTGCTATGGTTTTGTTCTCTTGCTATTAAAAAACTATTTAATTTTTGTCTTTGGATTAGCTGTTTTGGTGGGTGAAGTTAGACAGAAATAAGAGATATATATATTTTCTAAATTATATGAATTCAAGGAATATAAATGCAGAGTGATAATTCCGTGATGCCTTAATTGAAATGTTTGAAATGTTAGGTAATATATTTGTCTCCCTTCCACTCTTATAAGTAGCAAGCTATCAAAATAAAATTCAAATGACACTATAAGTCAGAATAAAATTTAATGGTATCATCATTTATGGAAAGTGGGTAATGCTTTTTTACCAACATATGCAAAAATTGGGAAATGGGGTAAAGGAGAAATTTGGAGATAAAAAAATTAGTATAAGACTTATGCCATGAGTAAGACCCAATTTTGTATTAATATTCAGAACCTTTTCAAACATGATGAGAAACACTATTTTCCTTTAATAAACATTTTGGAACCGATATATTTAAATCTTGTCACATTATA